ATCAAAAGAAAGAAGGAACAGCAATGTTGGCTTGGATAGAGCAGACTTAGAGTCTGCTAAGTCATCAGAAATCAAGGGTCAGTTCTCCAAACTCTAACGTGTATGCTCCAAACAACACAGCATCACAGAACTAACACCAGGGCATCTGGAGATGCCAACACCCCCTCCTTGGGTCAGTAGTTGATAAACCCAGCCAGAGAGACTCAGTGAGGATCTAGATGCACAGGGCGATACCACCACCCAGCAGGACCTAGCTGACATGTACATACATGCCTCAGGCAACAACAGAACACGGGTTCTTCTCCAAAGACCCCAGCAGGAAGACAAGTCCCAGCCTGGGAGAGAACCCTTGTAAACCAGACACCTGACAGAGGACTTGTGTGCAGAACAGCTAAAGAACTCTTATGACTCAGTAAGAATCCAGCCGAATCAAACAACTGGCGAAAGACTTGGAGAAACACTCACCCACGAAGTCATGGGCAGAGTGAATGAGCATAGCAAGCATTACTGTCGAAAGCGCAAAGTAAAACCACAGGGAGATGATTATCTACCCACTAGGAGGGCCCTCACCCAAGGACAGACAACACCAAGTGGGTGGAGAAGCCATAACCCTCATACACTGCTGACAGGAAATAAACATCCGTGATCTTAGCAGAAAACCCAGAATTCCACTTGGAGGAATCCATCCAGGAGAGATGAGGAGGGCACACAGAGGCTTACACGTCTGTGTCCATAGAAGCGTGACTCATGGTAGCCAAGATTCAGAAGCCAAATGTCCACCAACAGGCGACTCAGTAATTATTGATCTCATGTCTTTGTTTCCGTAAAGTGTCCAGAAAGGACAGAGAGCAAGCAGGGTAGGGATTGGCCGACGCTGAGGCTGAGGGCGGAGCTGGAAGCAGACTTTCTATTTGGGATGATGGAGATGCTACAGGCTTGAATCCCAGCGAGGGTTGCCCAACCATAAACATTTAATAAAATCCTTGCATTGTTTGCTGACAATGGGTGGGTTTCTGTAGACCATAAATTATATCTCAACACATTTATTTGAAGGGTGTTAACAGGCATTCCTCAGTCCCACCCCCGAATGCTGTTAAGAATTTCTAGATATAAAGTTCACAAATATGCATTTGACTAAGCCCACTCCTATGCAGGAAAAAGGCTCAGGGTCAACTTACCAGGACCCGATCACGTTCTAGATTAAGATGCAATTAACTGGGGGCTAGCACTGTGACGAAGTAGGTAAAGCCGCCGCTTACAGTGCCAGCATCCCATATGGGTGCCAGTTCAAGTCCTGGCTGCTGCACTTCTGATCCAGCTCTCTGCTATGGCCTGGGAAGGCAGTATAAGATGGCCCAAGTCCTTGGACCCCTGCACCCGCGTGGGAGATCTGGAAGAAGCTCCTGGCTCCTGGCTCCTGGCTTCAGATCAGTGCAGCTCTGGCTGTTGTGGCCAATTGGGGAGTGAACCAGCGGATGGAAGACCTGTCTCTCTCTCTCTCGCTCTCTATCTCTCTCTCTCTCTCTCTCTCTCTCTGCCTCTCCTTCTCTATGTAACTCTTTCAAATAAATAAGTCTTTTTTAAAAAAAGATGCAATTAATTTGTCATAAAATCTATGTTTAAAAAGGCAGGGATCTATTTAAATGAGGGGCTTCCCAAACCAATGTTAGGGGGAATCTCTTTTGAGAGTTAGGAAGAGGGGAACTGCATGTGTCTCCCTCCACACACACAAAACATTGGTTTAGGGGCCAGCGTTGTGGCATAGTGGGTTAAGCCACCATCTGTATTCCATATCGGCACCGGTTTGAGTCCCTGCTGCTCTACTACTGATCCAGCTCTTTGCTGATGCACCTAGTGAAACAATGCAAGATGGCCCAAGAGCTTGGGCCCCTGCATCCACATGCGAGACCCGGAAGAAGCTCTAAGCTCTTAGCTTTGGATTGGCCCAGCTCCAGTTGTTGAGCCATTTGGAGAGTGGACCAGCGGATGGAAGACCTCTCTCCCTGTCCCTCCCTCCCTCCCTTTCAAATAAATAACTTTTTTTTAAAAAAAAAAGTTGGTTTAATTGTCAAAGATAAGCAGGTGTCTCTGTTTCGTATTTTTGCCAAAATTTCTGTATCTCTGATACACTCACATGTGTTTTGACAATGGGGAGAGCTGGCAGCTTGGGAAATGTACAGTTTCTCAGGTTTATTTGGTCAGGGACCTTTTTTCCCTCTGAGGATCAGACCTGCTTTAGCAATCTATGGGAAACCATCCTAGGCCAAGAAAAACCCCAAACTAGAGCTTATCGTGTACTATACTGTCAGTCGAGAGAGGAAACATCACGCCTGTGGAAGTTCCATCCAATGGCAAATCTCAGAATTTGGGGGAATGAAATTCCTCTTGGCTTCCCGACAGACTGATAGGATGGTATTAACACAAGTACACGGGCCAGCGCTGCGGCTCACTAGGCTAATCCTCCGCCTTGCGGCACCGGCACACCAGGTTCTAGTCCCGGTTGGGGCGCTGGATTCTGTCCCGGTTGCTCCTCTTCCAGGCCAGCTCTCTGCTGTGGCCAGGGAGTGCAGTGGAGGATGGCCCAAGTGCTTGGGCCCTGCACCCCATGGGAGACCAGGATAAGTACCTGGCTCTTGCCATCAGATCAGCGCGGCGGCCATTGGAGGGTGAACCAATGGCAAAAGGAAGACCTTTCTCTGTCTCTCTCTCTATCCACTCTGCCTGTCAAAACACACACACACACACACACACACACACGTACACGGACAAACTATGCAGGGCGGCCGCTGGGTGTAGTGGTTAGGACCCCACTCGTGACGTCCATATCCCATGTATCACAGTGCCCGAGTTCAAGTCCAGGCTCTACTCCCGATTCCAGCTTCCTGCCAAGTGCACCCCAGGAAGCACAGCTGGAGCTCAAGCACTTGGGCCCCTACCACACACAGACGGAGTCCCAGGCCTCTGGCTTCGGTCTGGCCCAGCCCTGGCCGCTGCAGCCATTTGGGGAGTGAACCAGTGAATGGAAGACCTCTCTCTCAGTCTCTCCTTTTGTCTTTCTGCCTCTCGAGTACAACAAGTAAACAAAAAACTATGCAAGAAATTCAAAATTCTTTTGCACCAAAATAAATTTAATCTTTCAACTTCCACTCTTCCATGAACTTTCTGAAGCTCCCTCCTATCCTAGGAACCATGACCGTTGAATGCTTTTTAACTTTTCTTTGGCTTTGAGGAGCTATTTATTAAAGTTAGAGCTGAATTCAGAAAGCTTTTTTATTTTTTTAACAGATCAAAAATATATAAAAGCAGAGATACTATGGTGTAAGCAAAGGGTTGCAGTGAGAAGTCAAACTTCTCCCTATTGCTGACTTCACCCCAAATTCTGGTCCCCCGAAGAATCCGCAGGGTTCCAGAGAGTTTCCCCTGAAAAGCAGGATGCTTGTTCACCACTGACATGTGCAGGTCACGGCCAGCACGTTGCCTCCCAGGTTAAGCTGCCACCTGCAGCGCTAGCACAGGCGCTGGTTCGAGTCCCGTCTGCTCCACTTTCAATTCAGCTCCCTGCTAATGCTCCTGGGAAAGCAGTAGAAGATGGCCCAAGTGCTTGGGCCCCTGCACCCATGTGGGAGACCCAGATGAAGCTCTGGGCTCCTGACTTTGGCCTGGCTCAGCTCAGGCTCTTATGGCCATTTGGTGAGTGAACCGGTGGACAGAAGACCTCTTTCTCCATCTCTCCCTCTCTCTATATAAATCTTTCAGAAATAAAGAAACCTGCAGGACTCTGTACTTGACCTTCGCACCAGAAATCTGAGGCCCACGGAAAGCGACTCAAGTTCTTGGTGCTGATGCAGGCTTGTTAAGGATCTGACCTATTAATCATTGCTGTGGTGGGGCTGAACAGGAGGAGCTAAGTGGGGGTGACACAGCACAGGAGAGAAAATGTTGGTTTCAGGACAGGCCATCAGCAAGGAAGAAGCCAGAGGGTAGGGATGTAGACACATCAGGAAAAAAAAAAAAGATTCTGTTCTAGAACTCGTTCTCAGTATATATTTTAAGCTGCAAATACTACTATTCCCACCAGTGGTTAGAAAACGCTGCTCTCCGCACACCAGCCCACCTGGGATGCATGGTTTGGCGCAAGAGAGATCAGCATTGCAGAAAAAGCCAGGGGTTCAGGGGGTACCCTAGGAAGTGAAGATTTCCTCCTGTTTGTGGGGAGCAACTCGGACTAGACTGAGTTACTGGAATTAAGACTTATTCTATGCATCTGCTCTCCCACAATATGGCACTGGGAGAGGAGTAAACAACTTCTACACAGCTGCCTCCAGTTTGACCAATAACCTGCAGGAGCTGATCCTGCTCCTGATTGGAGGAGAGCAGCGTACTCAGCGTGTGGGTAGCAGAGTTGGGATTGGTGGAAGAGGACTATAAAGGAGGAGAGAGACAACATGCACCAAGAACATCCGGATAACATCTGAGCAGCCCCCGAGAGAGCCGGCCGGCGGTGTGCCACTCCCCCGCGGACGTGGGGAAAGTGGCAGGGGGAACCGCCCTTCCACGGAGGTGGAAGGATCGGCAGCCAACCCGGGAAGAACCAGCAGCAAACCCGGGGAGGGCCGAGCAGACGAAAGAACAGCGCAGGGTCCTGTGTTCTTCCTCCACAAAGAGGGGGAGCAACATAATGGTGCCGTGACTCGGATAGGAAGCCTAGGAGCGACACTGTTCCTCCCTGGTTAACTGGGACACAAACCCACGCTTTCCTGGCATGATCATCTGTAGGGGACCCTGTAGTCTCCAGACTGTGACAGAACAGCGACACACACACATAGCCTTTGAACATCCCACCTGAACACACACGCAGGTAAACCGCTCGGCACACGCCCAGACTCAGTCCATCCCCAATTTGCTGTCCGACACCACTTCTCTCCGCCACCATGAAAAGGGACTCGGGCGTCTCACACGATTCACGCGCGTGGGCGGGCCAGCCCAGCTCACTCACTCACCTGTCCACGATGATGCCATGCGGTATGAGCACATACTCCAGGTCGCCGGAATAGTGCTGCGGGTACGTGAACAAGTTCAAGTCGTAGCCAGGCCAATTGTCCTTAATCTGTAAGAAGCGAATCATTTCAGTGAGGGTGTTCTGCACTGGGAATTCATCTCGAATCAAACAACGGAAAGGGTATCATTTGGAACACAGACAACTGAACACAGGGAATTAGACCCTCTCTCTCCCCCAAGGAAGGGCTCCCTGGGGCCGGGCTGCTTGTCTGCTACAGCCTGATATTTGTTTATGACAACAGATACTTACAATGACCTAATACAGGACTTGGCATTGAAGGAGAGACAGCACTCCACTCCTGAGTCTCGACAGTGTAGTTAAGAATATAAACTCAGAGTCTCATGGCAAACCTGCCAGGACTATTTATATAAGTAAACATGGGATTTATATATAAAATTGTCACAAATATACCACCATAAAGAGTAACTGTATACTACGTAGAAGATCATGTTACATTAATATATGCATTTTTATATAGGCTATTACATTTCTGCTTGCTCTAAGTACCTCATCTGCCTGAAAAAGATTATCAATTAAAAGCGCATCATTGGGGCAGCGCTGTGGTATAGTGGGTAGAGCTCCTATCTGCAGTGCCAGCACCCTATATGGGCACCGGTTCGAGTCCCGGCTGCTCCATTTCTGATCCAGCTCTCTGCTGTGGCCTGGGAAAGCAGTAGATGATGACCCAAGTGCTTGGGCTCCTGCATCAGTGTGGGAAGACCCAGAAGAAGCTCCTGGTTCCTGGCTTAGGATTGGCGCAGATCTGGCTGTTGCGGCCATCTGGGGAATGAACCAGTGGATGAAGACTTTTTTCTCTCTCTCTGCCTTTCAATTAAATAAATATTTTTTTAAACAAAAGTCCACTATCAGGGCCAGCACTGTGGCAGTGGGTTAAGCAGCCACCTGCGATGCCAGCATTCCATTCCAGCTTTCTGCTAACGCACACTTGGAGGCTGCAGCCGAGGACTCGAGTAGCTGGGCCCCGGCCATCGCGTGGGAGACCTGGATTGAGCGCCTCAATGCCGGCTTCAGCCTGGCCCAGGCCCAGCTGTAGTAGGCACTGGGGAGTGAACCAGCACATGGGAGCTCTGTCTCTCTCTGCCATTCAAATAAATAACTTGATTTAAAAAAATAACTTAATGAGACTGGAATGGCCCAGTAATTAAAGCAAAGGTTTTGAAAGGCATATTCATGTGGGCACTTGAGCCAGGGCTACCGGGGAAGCGCCGGCCTAGCCTAGAAAATGGACCTGTTTGTAGCACGGACCGGGGGCAGCCTTCCGCTGCCCCTGCACTCCAGGCATGCGGGTTAGGCTTAGAACAGGCAGCAGGAGGGCAGAAAAGGAAGCCGGGTGGTCACGGAACACAGAGAGCAACGGAAGGGCCACACGCTCAGGGCAAGCCACACCCCAGCTATATTCTCAACTGGCTTTCTTCAAAGTCTCTGCACACCTGCGCCCGACTGTCCAGCCCTGAGCTGTCCAGGCCTTTCCTAACGCAGACCACGCTCCTCCCAGCACAACTCCCCACACCATCCCCTCTGCAGCAGGTGCTTCCCTCACGACAGGACAGGGCCCTTCTGAGCTATGGAGCGATCCGGGTTTCCTTCACTGCTCCGTCTGGTGCGCTGACCTTGCTCCCTCCACCTCTAATCCAAACCCTACCCCACCCCTGCGCTCACTCCCTCCACCTCTGTAATCCAAACCCTACCCCACCCCTGCGCTCACTCCCTCCACCTCTGTAATCCAAACCATACCCCACCCCTGCACTCACTCCCTCCACCTCTGTAATCCAAACCCTACCCCACCCCTGCGCTCACTCCCTCCACCTCTGTAATCCAAACCCTATCCCTCACCCCTGCACTCACTCCCTCTACCTCTAATACAAACCCTACCCCTCACCCCTGCACTCACTCCCTCTACCTCTAATCCAAACCCTACCCCACCCCTGCGCTCACTCCCTCCACCTCTGTAATCCAAACCCTATCCCTCACCCCTGCACTCCCTCTACCTCTAATCCAAACCCTACCCCTCACCCCTGCACTCACTCCCTCCACCTCTAATGCAAACCCTACCCCACCCCTGCGCTCACTCCCTCCACCTCTGTAATCCTAATCCTACCTCACCCCTGCACTCACTCCCTCCACCTCTGTAATCCAAACCCTACCCCTCACCCCTGCACTCACTCCCTCCACCTCTGTAATCCAAACCCTACCCCACCCCTGCACTCACTCCCTCCACCTCTGTAATCCAAACCATACCCCACCCCTGCGCTCACTCCCTCCACCTCTGTAATCCAAACCCTACCCCACCCCTGCGCTCACTCCCTCCACCTCTGTAATGCAAACCCTACCCCACCCCTGCGCTCACTCCCTCCACCTCTGTAATCCAAACCCTACCCCTCACTCCTACACTCATTCCCTCCACCTCTAATCCAAACCCTACCCCTCACTCCTGCACTCACTCCCTCCACCTCTGTAATCCAAACCCTACCCCTCACCCCTGCACTCACTCCCTCCACCTCTGTAATCCAAACCCTACCCCACCCCTGCACTCACTCCCTCCACCTCTGTAATCCAAACCATACCCCACCCCTGCGCTCACTCCCTCCACCTCTGTAATCCAAACCCTACCCCTCACTCCTACACTCATTCCCTCCACCTCTAATCCAAACCCTACCCCTCACTCCTGCACTCACTCCCTCCACCTCTGTAATCCAAACCCTAGCCCTCACCCCTGCACTCACTCCCTCCACCTCTGTAATCCAAACCCTAGCCCTCACCCCTGCACTCACTCCCTCCACCTCTGTAATCCAAACCCTACCCCACCCCTGCACTCACTCCCTCCACCTCTGTAATCCAAACCATACCCCACCCCTGCGCTCACTCCCTCCACCTCTGTAATCCAAACCATACCCCACCCCTGCGCTCACTCCCTCCACCTCTGTAATCCAAACCCTACCCCACCCCTGCGCTCACTCCCTCCACCTCTGTAATCCAAACCCTACCCCACCCCTGCACTCACTCCTTCCACCTCTAATCCAAACCCTACCCCACCCCTGCGCTCACTCCCTCCACCTCTGTAATCCAAACCCTACCCCTCATTTCCTGGGCTCACTCCCTCCACCTCTGTAATCCAAACCCTACCCCACCCCTGCGCTCACTCCCTCCACCTCTGTAATGCAAACCCTACCCCACCCCCTCCACCTCTGTAATCCAAACCCTATCCCTAACCCTGCACTCACTCCCTCCACCTCTGTAATCCTAACCCCACCCCTGCCCTTGCTCCCTCCACCTCTGTACTCCAAACCCTACCCCCCGAACCCTGTTTCCCAAATGCCTGGTTGTCCTTGCAGCTCTGTTCTAGGGGAGAACACAGTTGAGGCTCCCTGAGAAGACGCCACCCCTCCACCCCCGCAGCCTCTCGCTCTCCACCCTGTCTGCTGCTGTGCTTCGAGAGCCCGCTCCCTGCTCCACGGAGTGCTGGACACCTCCCTGCTCACCACACACTCCTCCTCACACAGGACTCAGTTCCCCTCACTGGGGTTTTGGAAGGGGAGCTCCTGGGCCAGCCCTCACCCACTCCCAGCGAGGGGACGCTGGAATGCCCACCAACGCTGACTCGTGTTACTTGTGCCCTCTTGGTAAGGGGCAGCTCATCCATCCAGCTGCTCAAACCAAAACCTGGGAGATGCCACGGACTCCTCTCCATCCCCTCATGCAATACATCAGCTGATTCTATCCACAGTGCCTTCAAAATTTCACTATGCCTGGGGTTGGGGGTGGGAGGTATGGGGTGTTCAGAAAAGTAGTTAAGATGCCTGCACTGGGGCCAGCGTTGTGGCGTAGTAGGTAAAGCCGCCGCCTGCACTGACATATGGGTGCCAGTTTGAGTCCCAGCTGCTCCACTTCCAATCCAGCTCTCTGCTATGGCCTGAGAAAGCAGAAGATGGCCCAAGTCCTTGGGCCCCTGCACCCACATGGGAGACCTGGAGGAGGCTCCTGGCTTCGGATCAGTACAGCTCTAGCCACTGTGGCCAACTGGGGAGTAAACCAGCAGATGGAAGATCTCTCTCTCTGCCTCTCCTACTCTGTGTAACTCTTTCAAGTAAATAAAAAATAAAAATAAAATTAAAAAGATGCCTGCATCCCATATCCAAGTGCCTAGCTTCAAGTTCATGTCTGTTTCCGATTCCTGCTTCCTGCTAATGCACACCCTGGGAGGCAGCAGGCGATGGCTCCATTATTTCCATCCCTGACACCCACATAGGAGACCTGGATGGAGTTCCTGGCTCCTGGTTGTAGCTTGGCCCTGGTTATTGTGGACAGTTGGTGAGTGAACCAACAGATAGATGATCTCTCTCACTAAATAAATAACCAAAAATATTTTAACCAGGCACACCTCTCAGCCCCTTCACCCCACCCGGGTGCATGCCAGCATCATTCTCCCTGGGCGAGCACCGTAGCTGCTGGCTTGTATGCTGGCTTCCGCTCTCACAGCCCCTCCACGGTGTGGCCAGAGGGCTTCTGTAAAAACGTGCCTCGTATCCGCACAGCCTCCGACTTTAAGGCTCTCTCATTTTCACTCTGAGCAAACTCGGGGGTCATCACCAGGCCCCACAAGAGTCTACCTCCCCCACCTGGTGCCCAGGCACCCTCTCCCTCCCAGCTCCAGCACCATTCTCCCTGCTGGTTCTGTATTCTGCCAGCCTTATTCCTGCCTCCCAAGCCTGGCACCTGCCATTTCTTTTAGCCTACAATCCTCTTGCCCTAATGTCCTCATGGCTGGCTCACTTCTCCCCAGACTTCACTATGCTGAGACCTTCCCCGGCTACATCCGAACAATGCCCCTCTCCCCACTCACCTCTGCATGGCTCTCTCCAGCTAAACTGTCCTCTCAGCATGTATTCCCACTGCATGTGAGTGTGTGCGTGTACATGCACACACTTGTACATGCCACAAACTAGATGATTACGTTATTCACTTGCTTTCACCTCGCCACGCCTCCTCCCACTGCCCGTGCCTTTCTGCAAAGACCTTACCTTACTCATTGTTGAATGCCCAGTGCCCAGAACACGTACTCAAACTTCACCGAATTAATAGCACAGCCTCCATCCACAGGCTACCCAACTACCTGATCTTGAGCCTCAAGCCTCGGCTTGTCTCCGTGTGATAAAGCTCACCACTGTAGAAACCTCTGGACATACCTGTATCTACCACACCCAAGGGCAGGCTGATGGCCACACGGGCTGATGTCAGCAACCTACTCGACAAAGATCCCATTACTGCTTCCCAAGCCAGCAGACTGGGGAGTGGGAGATTTGACTGCACAGAGCAGCTCTGGCCCTCACCCTGAGAATTCCTCAGGTTTGCCACACCCTCCAGCACCACAGTGGTTGGTCAGAGCCTTGCCTACCAGCTGTGTAAGATCAGGTCACAGCAAAGCCTATCCAAGAACGCTGACCAGGTACCGGGTTACAGGGAGCGTCTCCAAGGTCACAGTGTTTTCACACACACACACACACACACAACTCATTCTCTTCCTAGACCCCCTCCTTGGGGCAGGTAGGGGGTGCATTAACTAGTGGTCCTCTGAGCCCCCTCCTCCCGCCATGCAAGTCCTTACTGCCCCTGCTCTGGTCGGATCTCTGCAACCACTCCACCCCAAGTTCAAGAGCCTGGCTCCAACACTACTTCCCCATTCTGAGACTCGGTTTCTTCTTTTAAACAAGACCCAAATGAAACCTATGGGTGGAGAATGCAAGGAGACTAAACAGTGCACTTAGAGCACCTAGTACCTGGTATATAATAAGCACTTAACAAACGATGCCAAAAAAAAGATGACAAGAATGCCAAAAATGAGTGCCTGGAGGGCACAAAGATAAGAAATAACACAGGCCTCAGCATAAAAGCCCCAGCAGTCTCCCACAGCCCAGAGAGCCACAGTGGATGGCAGGGGCACGGGAGCCTGACACGCCTGGGCCAGGTTCTGGCACAAGACTATTTCCAAGTCTCAGCGCACTCAGCAATAAGACGAAGTCCCGTGGCCACTCTGCAGATTAACGGAGATAAAGGATATCAGACGCCTATCTGTGTCTGGTCTACAGCAATTATGCCATAAATGCTCATGCTTTGATGGATTAGCACAAGATCACTGAATTACAAAGCACATGTTTTTATTCACTTCAACAGGTGCATCAAACTCACTGCCAGCCTTCCCGCCCTAATGAAGGCTGTGGTGCTCTGAAGCTGTTCTGCAATTCAGATTGGCCATTATTTCCAATTAAATTAAAAAAAAAAAAAAGCATTTCTATTGTTGCGAGGAAGGATCTTCCGGCTTACACTCTGTCATCCTTACCAATGTGGGCAAATCGTGTTGAGGATTAGGCTAAACCTGGAGGAACAGAGCTGGCCACAAACTAGATGATTACGTTATTCACTTGCTTTTAAAAAATCCAAACAAGACATCCTTAAACAGTTCCAGTTTCACAGATAATGCGTCCTAAGTTTATTCAGCACAATGCTTGCTCTGTTCAAAACAGCAATGCAACGTCAAGCTGGGAGAGTGACAAACACATCGCCAAGGCATTTTATACAACATCCAGATCCCAGAGCTCTCTCATTTCGAGATCTACTGCAAACCTTTCTGAGTCATTCAAAATAAATTTTTTTTTGCTGAGAATACCTGTTGCATTGTTTTTCCAGATTTTCCCCACTCGGAAAGACAGAGAGGCAGCTTAGCCCAGCTCTCCTCCTGCAGGCAGGGCTGCTGGGGATCAGGTTCACGACTACTAGCCCAGCCCCAGAGCCAGGGAGCAGGGTGCACTGTGGTGGGCGGCTGCTTCAGAAACACGCGTTTGAACAGCCGGGTCTATGTGGTTTGCTGAGAGAAGACCCCCAGGTTCTGCACCCACAGGAGCGAGGCGGGCCCACAGGTACCACCTGCCATCTTGAAGGTTTTGCTCTGCTGGGGCGTTCAACACCCACCGAGGCAATACTTTCGGCAACCTGTTGAAGCTGGGTTTGGGCAGATTACCTACACCTGACACAGCTTCCTGGGGCTGGAGACAGCAGCAGGGAGCCAACTCTCACAGAAGCACAACCATGGTTTCCAATTCTTCTCATTCCAATCAGACTCGCTCGTGCAGGGACTTACTAGGGCTCTTTTGAGAATGCTTTGGTAAAAACCAAACCAACCAAATAACCAATAACCTGACTCCCAAAAGCCAGGTGGACAGAGATCTTCACCTCTAAGAAGTGACTACACCAGCCCCAGATCAAGTGACAGGCCGACTCTGCTCTCAGCATCTGGACCACGTACCCTAGGTAGGGACGTGGATCTGTTACCACTTGTTCATGAGTGCTAAGGCGCTGTCCCCTCAGCTCAGTTGCAGCCACCTGCAGGCAAGGGGTCTCCTGAATCTCTCATTCCCGCTGCCTCCTGACAATCTACGCTCTCGTCTCTGCCTCCACCCTTTGGCCCGGTTCCCCTAGCCATCTTCTTCACCACGTCTCTGCCAACTCACTTGCATTTCTGGACACGTCCTTGGGTAATTTATCCAATACCTACACTGATCCTGCCAACTACTCTATCCTGTTGCTCCTGCACCTGCCTCTCCTCAAACTATTCCTATGTATTAGAGAGACAGACACCTAGACTGAGAAAGCTCCTATAGGCCGGTTCACTTCCCCAGCGACCACAACCACCTGACTGCAAGCGAAACCAGGAGCCAGCAACTTAGTCTAGGTTCTCCCACCTGACTGCAAGCAGGGACTCAACCAATGGAGCCATCACCTGGTGCATCGAAGGCTCTTCATTGCGGGAGGCTGGAATTGGGAGCTGGAGCCATCAAATGAACCCACGTACCACAATATGGGGATGCAGGTGTGTCCACTGCTAGACCAAATCGGCAGCTTCAAACTACTGTTAATGTGTATTCCACACCAGCAAGACAGCTACAGTGGTCCTTCCCAAGGGTGCCAGCTCTGAAATTCTCTCCAGGGATTCCAGCCTCCTGGGCAGCAGAGGAGCCGGAAGCTGGCTCAATCCTGCCTCTACCACTTGCTGGTATTTGCTATTCTGTGTCTCGGTTTACTCCTGTGGAAACTGGAAAGCATAACCGACCCACCTACAGATTCGTGAGGACGACAGTAACGACCCGGCGAAAGCACAGTAAACACTCAATAAATGCATGCGACCAACACCTGCCCCCTTTCCTCACTGGTACCAAAACTTCCATTTGGTCTTTGCATCCCCCATTTGGTCTTTGCATCCCATCCTGGAGGGCTGTCTTCCCGGACAATTCACCGCGTCCAGTTCTCTCTCCTTCCGGACCCTGGCTGCCAGGCCCTTCTGCCCACCGGCACTGTGCACTCCCTCCGAACTCCATCTGCCTGCTTTTGTCTGTCTTAGGGCGATCTAAGGATCCCAAGCTCTCCTGGGACCAGACCGCTTACCCGTGGGTGATTTCCAACCTCAGAGCGGCCGCACGAACTGTAGCAATATCCACGCTGCCCATTTGTGCTCACGGGCAGATGGGCTGTGCGTCACAGCGAGGCCTCGCCCCTCCTCGACCACCCTCACCCCCACTCACAGCCGCCAGCCCAGCTTAAACCGCTCCTGGGGAGGCCGCACAGCGAGGGGGGCGGTCTCCAGCTGGACCCCAGCGCCTGATCCCAGACACCCAGGGGGTGGGGGGCGTCTGGCGGACACGGTCGAGGGCTGGCGGGCAGGGCTACGCAGGCTGGGCTCTGGGGACCCCCAGCACCGGCACAGGCGGCGCACAGCGCCCCACGCCCCCACGGTATCCGCGGTAGAAACGCGCCTTGCAGACCGCGCCGGGCAGCTGAGTTTGCGCACGGGAGCGAGAGCCCATCTGCGGAGAGGAACAAAGCGGAGCCGCGCTCCTCCACCCACCCCGCCGCGCCACGGAGGGCTCCCCGGGGGGCGCGCCCGGCTCGGCCCGCCGCGGGGACTCGGCATTTACCACGACGCCGCGCCCGCCGCCTGGCGCCTCCTCGCCGCTCCCGGCCATGTTCCTCGCGGGCAGAGCGGGAAGGAAGGGTCGGGGGGCGGGGATGCAGCCGCCCCGCCCCGAGCCCTCCGGCGGAGGGAAAGCCGGGGCTGGCGCCGCTCCAGCCGGCCGGGAGCAGCTGCAGAGCCGGCGCGCCGCACCTGAGCGCGGGCCCCCGGGCGCGTCCCGCGGGACTCGGCGCGCACGGACGGGGCGGGATCACGCCGGGCGGCGTCCCCGGCTCCCAGGTGTGCAGGATGCGCGCTCGAAGCCGAGAGAGCCGCGCTCGCCTCTGCGCGGGGTGGGGGCTCCCGCGTGGCCGTCTTGGGTCTGCGAGACGCCCGGGCGGTCACGGGCTGGACGGCGGGGCGCGGGGCTCCCCGGTGGCCCGCAGCCGCCCCGGGGAGGCTCAAAAACGTGGCTGTGCGCTGGGCCCAGGCACCTGGGGGAGCTGGACTGGAAATGCTAAAGAGCCGGGTCTGCGGCCCATTGAGGCGTAAACCCCACCAGGCTCGCGATTAAACAAATGTTGCATCCTTGGAACACAATTAAGATACATTCTATGAAGGCCCGACCAAGGAACAGACAGGGTTGTGTGTGTGTGTGTGTGTGTGTGTGTGTGTGTGTATTTTTAAGTCAGATTCATTTTTGTTCATTTTCTTTGTATGTGTCGGTAATTATTTTGTGCAATCTGACTACATAAAGTCGCACTTTTTAATCACAAAAAGTATTTGCAAAGACTGGTATCCAAGAACAGCAATGCATTTTTTTTTAAAATCCAGCTTTGATTTTTCATCTTGCAGGATGAGGATTTAGAAGCCAAATGCTTTTTGAATCTCAGATTTGTGGATTTGTGCTACATATCTAGTGGGATGGGTTTGGATTATTATTCCACGTTTTTTTTTTTAATTCAGAGGATTTTAACCGTTTTCTTACCTGCATATGTTGTGATTAGCATGAAATATGCAAGATACTCCTTTGAAAAAAGTGCTACAAAGGTGTAAGGGATTATTAATCTGATTTGCTGTGAAAATGTGAGAGCAAATGTTTGTAAATTATTCCATGTGGAAATTACAGGGCCTCGCCTCCTTTTTTAAGATTTATTTTTATGTATTTGAAATGCAGAATGAGAAAGGAGAGGACAGAGAGCTTCCATCTGCTTGTTCACTCCCCACATGGCTGCATCGGCTGGGGCTGGGCCAGACAGAAGCCAGCAACAAAGACCTCCATCCAGGTCTCCCACGTGGGTGCAGGGGCCCAAGCACTTGGGCCATCCTCTGCTGCCTTTCCTGGCGCATTAGCAGGGAGCTGGATTGGAAGCTGAGCAGCCTGGCCTGGAACCCGCCTTCTGTCCCTGGAAGCCAGCACTACAGCTTAGGTCGCTGCACCACAAGGCCAGCCCCAGGGGACTCCCATTTTAATACTGACAAAGTGACCAGTGAAGGGTAGTTGTGTGTACGGACAGTCTGGGGCATTGGGTTGAGAACAGATAGAGAAAAATGAGAAAAGTTATAATGGTAGAATTTTCCAGAAAAGGGATATTTTAGTTCAGACTGTCCATTTTCTGAAGACATTCTTTCTCTGACAGAGCTGTAAGGACAGATGCACATCTTTGCAAAGTTAGTGATAGTAAAGGCACTGCGTTTTTTTCTGCCCTCAGCTTTACCCTATTTTAGTTGTAAGTTCTCTGAAATTTAAATTTCAAAAATGTCTCGCGTCACTTCTATGGTGAAAAACACAAATATTTTTTCATGAACAAATTCTCCCCCAGGCTGGATGGAGACCTTTATCCTGGAAATGCATACGAATCTTTTGACGTGTTGGTAATTCTTTGACTTCAGCCAACAACATACGTGCTTTGAAGGGGCAATTTAATCTCTTGACCCGTGTTTTCCCGGGCACTAAGTTGGGCAGTTGATTCCGAGTCCTGAAACAGGAAAAGAAGTACATACAGATAAATAAATAAATCTTTAGCCTGGGAATTGTGTTGAAATACAGAAACATCTGAAGCTCAGTGACTCAGATTGTTAGAGAATTACTGGTTAGAGTTTGGATGAAATCCACTGGGGACAAAGGCCAGTAATAACGCTGATGATATTTTGCTTTTTCCAGAGCGCTGAATAGAACACTTTGCAAATGTTACAAGTACAAAAGAAAAAGTGGCAAGATGTTTGCCTCCTGCTACTCAGGCTAAGTTAGAATCTGGATACATTTGTAGTTTTATGCTCCCTCTACTAGAATACCAAAAAAAAAAAGTGGCAAATAAATTGTAACAAAAAGCAAAATCCTATTAATATGAAATGAGCCTAGTAATTAGCCTAGTGTTTGCGGTGGGTCTCTCCTTGGAAGCAGGCTGGATCCAAGGTATAGTCATAAGGAAAGCCAGGAGCTACAGCCCTGATTGGATTCTGCGTTACACTTTCACTGGTAACTGCTTAGGGAGGACCACACTGGGAGTGGATGGATCCTGCTCTCGCCCATCTCGGCAGCCGAGAGTTAACAGCATGACCAGTAAGTGCTACCCACTATCTCCCCATCGAACCAGAACAGGAATTGGATAGCTTCAGAGTGGAAGAATAATGTGTCCATGTGTTCCTCCAGATCCCAGAGTCTTGGCACCCGACCACAGCCCTCTTGGCCACCGTAAAGCAGTCATTGAAAGGACACAGCTGCAGGAACTGGAGCTGAGCTAAATAAATCCACAGGGCTGGGAGCACAAGTTACATACGTGACCCCAGCACAATGCCCTGTGATTCTGAAGGGCCAGATTAGCATCGAACGGTGCAGTGGCAGCTTATGCAAAATTAATTGGTTCAGAGTCCACTTAAAAAAAAAAATACTGAGAGATCTCGGTAGGGGACAGCACCTTAGGCTGATGTCCTGGGGACGCAGGTGGAAGACTCACTGGAATGAGAGCCGTTCTCCCTCCCAGCTGCACAGGGACTCCTCTCTCGCTCAGAGCTCATGTGCAGCACCGGATGGCAAAGCCCAAAGACAGGTCCAGTCGTTGCCAGCTTCTGGGTGGTGTTTTGGAGTTAAGCCACGGTGGGGGCATGGAGGAGCTTGGGAAAGAGGTTGGGGAGCTGTGACTTGCAGGCTGAAGAGACCGAGAAAGGAGGAAGGAGCTGGAGTCTGGTCCATGCACGGCAACACTTCCTGCAATGTGGTCTGACCCACTTTTCTTTATACTTGCAGAAGCTTATGCAGTGACTTACTCCTTTTGAGAAATGATAAGTAAAATTAAACAGGCTTCTACTTTGTAGGGCTTCTAGGCACCTTGATATGCCAGTGCACACCACCAGCGTTCAAGAGGTGCGGCAGGATGCAATGTTTCCCAAGGTTTTTTGACTACGGAAACCTTTTTAGGGGGTGCTTCATAATTTTTTTGAATATCGCATAATTATAAAATGAATTTATGCTTTTAATGTTATCACCCAGTAAGAGATTTTACAGTCTTTACAGATACATTAAAAAACTACATATTTTAAATACAACATTTATTTCAAATTGTGCATAGGTATTCAGCATTTTTTTAAACATTTATTTTTATTTATTTGAAAGAGTTACACAGAGAGAGGAGAGGCAGAGAGAGAGGGGTTTTCCATCCGCTGATTCACTCTCTAATTGGCCGCAATGGCCAGAGCTGTGTTGATCTGAAGCCAGGAGAGAGAAGCCTCTTCCGGGTCTCCCATGCAGGTGCAGGGGCCCAAGGACTTGGGCCACCTTTCACTGCTTTCCCAGGCTGTAACAGAGAGCTGGATTGGAAGTAGAGAAGCCAGGACTCGAACTGGCACCCATGTGGGATGTTGGCACTGCAGGCTGTGGCTTTACCTGCTATTGTACAGCATCAACCCCGGTATTGAGTATTTTTGAGGACTATATAGCTGAGGGGCAGGCGTTGTGGGACACTGGGTTAAACCGCTGCTGATGATGCTGGCATCCCAAATCAGAGCACAAATTTGAGTCCCAGCTGCTCTACTTCTGATCCAACTCCCCATTAATGCTCCTGGGAAAGCAGTGGGAGGTGATCCACATAGGAGGCCAGGAAGGAGTTCCAGGCTCCTGGCTTTAGCCTGGCCTGGCCCTGGCCATTGCGGCCATCTCGGGATTAAACCAGCAGATGGAAGATCTCTCTCCTCTGTCACTCTGCCTTTTGAATAAAATAAATAAACCTTTAAAAAATTTCTTAAAATATGCAGCCAAAATTTAAATAGATATGACCAAGACCTTTCTCAGTCTCTGAAATGCCTTGGCTTTGCAACTTGGGTAGTCCTTCAAGTTGGCATGAAACTATTGTTTTAGAAGACAAGGGACTTATTTCCATCAGTGCCTCCTACCCCAGACCTGTTGTTCCCTTCTGTCCTCTCGGGTGTCAGCAAAATCAACCTTCTGAGTAGAAGAGAGACGGAAGTCTTGCTGTCTCAGTCCCCTAGTCTCAGCGACAGTGCAGGCAACTGTTTTTAGATGTCATTTGGATATGCAATGTTCTGGTGACCCAGGAAGCAAAGCTGGCTTGTGCTGTCTGTCACAGCCATGCAAGGGTGTGGGCACCTTGGTTCTTTCCACGGAACTCTCTGTCCGACCAGGCCAATGGCACCCGAATACAGCACGTGCATCAGGAGCCCCGTGGTTTGCATGGGAAGAAGCTGAGTGTTTTCTAAGGGGGGATTTCTTCATATGCCCATTCCCTCCGCCGGGCTGGCTGGCTTCACGGTGGGTCAAAGCCAACTCACACAGCAGCACATTTGCTAAGCTTTGGCCATGATATTGATGACTTTTTAAGAGCAAATTACAAAGTATTTTTTCTGTTTTTTTTTTTTTTTTTTAAGATTTATTTTATATATTTGAAAGACAGTTACAGAAAAAGAGAGAGAGAGAGACATTGTCCATTCCATGGTTTGGGCCAATCCAAAGCCAGGAGCCAGGCACTTCTTCCAGGTCTCCCATGTGGGTGCAGGGACCCAAGGACTTGGCCCATCTTCCTCTGCCTTCCCAGGTGCATTAGCACAGAGCTGGATAGGAAGTGGAGCATCCGGGACTCAAACCAGTGTCCATATGGGACGCCAGCTCAGCAGGCTGAGGCTTTATCCCGCTGTCCACAGTGCTGGCCCCTTCTGTTTTAAATTAGTATATACAAACTGT